TGAAGATACAGAGTTTATCCGGGAGTTTGGGAGAAAGAAATTTAAGTTCGACGAGCTTTGTAGGCACAATATTATTTTCGCGCTGGACGTTAATGCGGCGAATTTCGGTGATTTCGTAGCAGCACTCCAAGCCTTCGCGAATGTCTTCATCGGAAACGCATTGGTCGATGCGGATGACACCGAGACTATAGATAAGTGAACTAGGGATGGCGGCGGAGAAGTTGTTTTCTGACAACCATGGAGAGCTCAGACCTGAGTTAGCATTGTGACGGAGTCAAAAGTAATTTTTACTCTTTGCGAACCCACGGGTGCAATATTAGTTACTCCTTTAAAGTTATTGATGAACAATTTTCCTAATTTGACAGGATGTAGGTTACCCAGATTGTTATTGGAAATAGACAATATGATAACATGGATTGGGCCCGTATAATTGGGAGAAAAAGTTTCTTGCGCGTCAGTTTGCATTATTTTTGCGCTGGTAGCGGAGTCGATAATGGTAATAGACGAAGAAGTGGACTGCGAATTAAGTGGCCTATCTGCAGCCCCTGCAGTGCAATCCATATTAGAATTATTTGATGTGGCCGTTGATTGCGTGTGTGTATTTGTTAGAGGAGATAAAGGCGGTGAATTACCTGTAGATGGTTTAGATTTTTTTGATTGTGTTGATGTGGTAGGCGAAACATCTTTGTTTTTAATAGATGTTGAAGCGGTTGAGCGACGGTCTGGAGAGGAGAGCGAGGTGAACCGATTACGGCCCGGTGCCGACGACATGCCGAGACCGGTGCGCATGGCGTGCGTGATCGCCCGGTGTGGCTTAATGCGATAACGGTTTTAAATAAATGGGCAATTTACGATAACTGAAATGATTACGGAGCTAAGATAAGCGAGCGTTTGACGACGAACGTGTTAGCGTACCGATGGGTAAATCGCAACTGAAATATATATATATATATATATATTATAATAAAATAATAAAAACACTGCAGTATATATATTGTATATATATTGTTTTAACAAAATCGTATAGATATGCTAATATACAAACATAAATATAGTTCAAATATTATTATCGATTAAATTATCATCATCGTGATTAGTTTGCAGAGATTTTTCAGCCATTTTTTTCATTCTTGGTGTTGCTTGGGCCATCCAGTTCTTAATGGGTTTTTCAATATCAATGTTAGACGTATCTTTAAACTTTTTCATTTTACGAACAATATCTGTAAAGAAATTATATTAATATATAATGTATTTGAATACAATGCTAACATGTTGAACTTTTATTACTTATATATTTTATATAGTCAGTACCTATAGTTATTAAATTGGTTTATAATAATATAATATAGAAGTTTTGAAATACAGGATATTTGAAAACATGTTCAATTTTATACCTGAACTTAAATGATTATAAAATATTATAATATAGTATTATTTATAATAAATAATACTTATATAATTATTGTTTGAAATATTCAAACCAAATTTGGGTTCATAATACAAAAATAAAAATGTATTAATTCTAGCAGTTATGATACATTATTAACTATGTTTATACATAAAAGGTTTTAAGACTGAAGGGAGTGAATTAGTGTGCTTATATTATAGTTATTACCGTATAGAATGGCTAACGAAAAATTAGATCACACCTCATATTCAAAGTGAATAGTTTTTATTTTTAAGGTACTTATAAGTTTATATTATGTCACATTCCATAAAAATTATTTAACCAATAACAATGACTATGATAATATACATATACTGATGTGTAAGATCTAGTGCTAAATAATATATCTAGCTAAAATACTATAAATTTCTAAAATATCACATTTTGTATATTATAACAATATATCAAATAATTGTTACTATATATGATGGAACAACATTGCAATGTTGAAAACTGATGTTTGCCCTTAAATCCGACAAAAGAATATTTTGAAAGAAATTGGTCAGTGAACAGACGCTGCATTATTTTTCGTATTGTTTCTGGCAATGTATTTCCTACGAAACGAGATAGTAATATAATCTGAAAAGTAATATTTTTATCACCTATGTTATAAATTAAGAAGTGTAGTTAGACATTAATATAATAATTGTAATAGAACCGTAATTTCTTTCAGAAGACTCCCCCCTCTAGACAACATTAAAAATACAATGACTTTTATAATTAAGACTAAATAATAATAATATGATGTATTTACTCGAGTAATAATTACTATATAATAAAAGTGATACACACTATATGTACTTTCTGTGGAAAATAAGTTGTAAAATATAATAAAAATTATGTTATAAATCATTAATGAATTATATAGGCCAATATTTTGTTGAATTGTTAACGCATTCATTAAAAAAAAAGTATGTAGTATAAAAAAGGTAGTTGCTTGAAAGCCTAGAACATACCTACCTACATAAATATTTTTTAGCTATAATAATATATAGAGTAAATAATAAACTCTATGCACCACTAACAATAATGACAATAACTAATAATATATTATACTAAACATTCATACCACTGCATTTCTATATGGTTTATCATTAACTAGCTTTTCTTCCATATTGTTAAGATCTTCATCGTTGTCAATAACTCCTAAATCCACATCATTATAGTCATCATTATTAGAGATCATAGCTGACCCTTTTGAATCTAATTTGGCTAAAATTTTTTCCAGTAATGATTCTTGGGCATCAAATCGTTTATGAAAATGTTTTGTATCATATTTTAAATTGGCCAAAGACCGCCTAACACATTTTCTGAATACTGAGAAACAATTAATAAAAACAATTTTTTAAACCTGAAATGTTTAGATAGCTATATATAAAACTAATATATAACCTTGATCACTTTCATCTGCAGATTTATTAGCTCTGGTAGACAGTGAAATTATTGGTTGGACTGTGTAATCATTGTTTTTATTTAACTGATCAGAACTTGAAGTGTGATGTGTTTTTTTTTTCTTACTTCTTGAACTATAAGAGACGACAGTTTGTGATGTTGATGGTTCTTACTGGTTAATTTTATACAGCCCATTTTCTGGAGTTGAGTCATAATAACTATTATCTTTAAATAATTGACTGGAAGGAATAGTACTTTCTTTAGTTTTTGTGATGCATAATTTCTCCACATCGGAATCATAATCACTTTATCCTGCTAGTTATTTATAAAAACTTAATAAATGTAAGGTATAATTTTGTACAATTTATGCAAAAATGATGAGTAGGTACCACCTTAAAAATATTTGTTTGTGAATAATGGAGCCTGATTATTTTCTTTTACATAAAGATAATATAATCATCATAGTATAATAATATAAAAGGCATAATTTTCTTTTCTTTTTAATAATTTGATTACACCAAAAGCAATAAAAAATAAAATATATTGTTTTTAATATAATATGTACGATAAATAAGGTCAACAATTAATATAAAAAGTGAAAGTTGAAGACTTTAAAACATTTAATTTGGTTACCTACTTGATAAAGTTGATTTTTTCTACTAAATGCATATAAACTTATTTATTTACATCAGTAAAACTTATTTATTTACATCAATACTTACCTATATCATTATCATCAGTTGTCACAGATTCATCAAAAACAGGAATTTTTGGTAGATGAGATTTTTCTTTAAACATTTTTGTGATTGATGGAGACGTGTTTTTTATTTTTCTGAATTTTCTAGTGTTTTTATCATCATCATTTGAAGACAGTTCAAAGCATTCTTGTCCTTTAATAGCTTTAGCTGCTTCAACGTAACTATCTTCAAATTTAAAACAAAGTTATGATGTAAATTATGTATATCAATGCAGTAATTTTTATTATGTCAATAAATGAAAGCTTATGATCTCGCTTATAGTACTTACCAATATTTTCTAGCAATGGACGTGCTTTATAACTGTTAAAAGTTACTTTTTCAGGCTTTGACCGACGTTTTATCAAGTTTTTTGTATCTGTTCTAAGATTTCTCTTAGGCCATTGGCATATACCATTTGAATACCAAAAGTTAGTTACAACATAAACTGTGTTGTCAATTTCAAACACCACAATCGTCCACATATTGCAACAATAATACTTCTGTACACAAAGTACAAAGTAAATGCAAATATATTATGTGTATATTATAATAATCTGTATGTACATTTAATTTAACTATCTACAACTTAAAAATAAGTAATTTACGAGGTAATTTATGAAAAAAAATAAATGTTAGGTATTAAAATTGTATATTATAATATAAATTAATTGTAATGGATAATAGGTACTACAATTTGTTTAATATCTGTTATACTAAATTGAACAAAATCATTAGAAAGATTTTTAACAATGTAAATGTCAAGTTTTGATGATTTTATAGGGATATCATATAAGTCTTCTTTTACATTAAATTTGTGTCCAATGATACTAGAGTTTAACATTTCAACAATTCTAACTATCTCTCCATGATGAATTATAACATAACAATTTGGTTTATTGGAATTAAAATGAATTTTTTGTTCATTTTTATATTTCCAATTTCCAATTTCACATTGCTCTTCATACCGTTTGATGACCTGTTGTAATGGTTTTTCATTTTTGTGAAACATAGATTTTAAACTTTTCATATAGTTTTCGAATGGAAAAGCACTACAACCGTCTAAAGGTCCATTTTGAATATAATCATCTGTCAAGTGTATGTATATTATGTGATACAAATTGTTTACCATATAGAACTTGAAATATTTTTACAAAGTATTCTAATAATTGTTTGGCAAAGTTTGGATATTGAAAAAGATCGGAGCTCAATAGAATTCTCATTGCTATTTTCAGCGCTAAAAAATGTTGATAACATTCTTTGGTAAGCACATTTTTTAGAACAACAATACCTGTATACAAAAGAAACTGCCTCAGTTCTGTAGCTATCCATCTATTAATTTCATCTAAAGTTCTTGGTTTTCTAGAGAAATCATTGGTGATATTTATCTTTAAGCTACTAAGTGATATGCTAATTAGTTTTATTTTTCAACTAGGTAATCGGGTATTAAGAGGTCCCTTGATCCAAAGATTAATTAATTTTTTCATTGTACCTAAACATACTAAATGCATGTAATCCATAGAAAACAATGAAATAATATCAATGTCTGGGATAAGTGATATACATGATATAGTAGTTAAAATGTGATGTTCTTCAGCTTTTATACACACATAATCATCATGAATTCTATTTTCACTACCATTATCAATGTAAGTTACCGTGTAATTAACACGGTTGTTACAATATTCTCCTTCATGTACACAGCGGGTGCAAGAAGAGAAGCCAGAATGGCCCTTTATTCTCATAATAAAGGATTTGGCAGGTACATCAGAACATATTACTTGGATTTTAATTTTAATTTTTAAATTAGCAATAGTAATACCATTTTCAGTTAGCTCTAAAATTTCTGAAATAAAATCTTGTAAGAATTCATTGCTGTCTTTTGGTTTTTCATACCCATGGTATAATCCTACTGGAAACACATATTTATGATGAGGTTGTACATAAGCCAATATTGGCCAAAATTGACTGGAGGTAAATTTTGATAAAGGCATTCCATCGATACCAATTGCAATTTTAACTTCGTCATCTAAAGAAAAAATTGATGCACATCTTTTAATACCATTACCCAATCCAAAATGATAATATTTAGCAGTGGAGCTCATAGTTCATAATTTAAAATTTTAGTTGATTTATTGTGTAACTATGTCCTACAATCTTTAGGCAAAAAGTCAAGGCCCGCTTTATTTTTTAGTACGTCTAAAAGCGCATTTACAGCATTTTGAAGAACATTAAAATCTACTGCCCATTTCCCAATAGCTTGTTTAACGTTAGTTTTATGGTTAAAATGTACATAATTATTAGTTATGATATGCTGAATGTGGTCCAAGTTATCAAATCTAACAGATAAATCTTCAATAGATACACTCTTGGAATTATTTTGATCATTTGTTATACTGTTATAATTCAAAACCAAATCGTCATCATCAACATAATTATTATCATCAGATAATCAACAAGATGATTCTAAAGCTAGGAGTTCATTTTGAATTCTTCTACGTTTAGTTCTATATGATCGTGAATTATACATTATTTATTATAGTACGTACCAATATATGCACAAGTACAATATTTTTAATTAATAATAAATCTATGATATTTGACAAAGATATCTATATATAAGCTATATATATAATAAATATATAAAATGTAATATACCTAATATAATTTTATACGCACTGTACATAATGTTACGTGCCAACCGTTTGATCCGTTAATTCAGTTACAACGTCTAGGTCAACGCTTGATTGGAAGTGTAGTCAAGAATAATTAAGACTTTTTTTAAAATAATTAAATTTATTTAACTCATAAAATTATCTTAACTACAATTTTGTAAATATTCTAGTGATAGAAATTATCTAAGTCCTAACAATTGTAACTTATAAAATGATTGAAATATTTCTAAGTCCAGACCATAACATACACTGACTTGAAGGTGCTCAGTGCAGCATAGACAAGACTCGTCTGATTTACCCTTGTTTTCGGGTCCCTTTTATATGTGATATGGTATGTGTGTGTGTAAAATCCCAAGTGTGTGTGTGTAAATGAATAAGATAATAAAATATGATAAATGTGATGAGTCGTTATTGATTCGGTGTGTACGCTCTAAAATATGATAATTCTCTATTGATTCTGTATGCGTGTATTATCTCTTGACCGGCCCATACTTATTACAAGATCCAGGATGTGGTCAACCACCCACGTATATGTGACTCCGATATTCATATTCTTATTTAAACAGATAACCATGTGAACAATTTTACTTATTCACACGCCCACACAGTGGTCGGAAATACAAATTTAGGCGGACAAAATGGAAAAAAAAAAAAGATAAAAATGAGATATTTAGCACTTAATATTATATCAGTATAATAAATATAACACAATTTAATAAACTCTAGGTTATTATAACGACAATAACCACTTAAAAACGCGATAACTGTAAAACGATTAGAGACCAAATGTACAATATTTACGGTTGATTAAGAATTTTACTTCATTTCTTCGTCGATTGTGTTCAGAGTATTTGTTCAATATTATAAAAGTTTAATTATTATTTTAAAATGGACATCAATACAAATGGTAAGTTTAATTACAATTCATACATATTATTCTAATAAATACATGGTGTATATGTATTGCATCACTATTAAACATTTTTTTTAGTAGTGGTTTTACATTTTGATAGATATTATATAAGAAGAGATCTAAAATGATCATATAAAAATATATAGGTATTATTCAAAAACTCTTTAGCTTTTCAATGACATAATTTTTAACTGCGTCAAGTTGCGTCTGTGATTAGCATATCTGTTATTCTCCTTTACATTTTGTTTGTTTAGCAATTATTATTTTCACATTTCAGTTATTGATGAAAATAAAAAAATCGTATACAATGATTTGTTTGTATTCTTAAGAACAAAGGGGCCTTTGAATCCAAGAAGTGTGGTATCTAACCGATATTTACTACAATATATTAAACAAAAATATAATGCTGACAATTGAGAAGAAGAATACGAAAACAAAATTAAATCAACAATTTCTAATTTCACAGCCGTTTTAAGCAAACTTTGGATAAAAAGTTCACGAAATATAATTAGATTTAAGGAATCAAATGTTGATTGGCTAAAAAAACTATTTGTATTACCTCCTCGATCACCACCATCATCATTAAATGTCGGCAGACCTCAAAAATTGTTTTCTGATTGTTCTGATCGAAATAAAAGACGTAAAATTCAACAACTCACGAAATCGTATACTTCTCCAGAAATATTATTTGCCGCCAAAAACAAATTACACATATCAGGAAAAAGAGCAGCTTGTAGTATAGTCAACGAATCACTGTCCTCTCCAACTCGAGCATCAAAAATTAAAAAATCATACATGGCTTCACTATCAATTGATGATGCCATCATGCCATATTCTTTTGACGAAGCATTGGCATTTTTCATTGAAAACAAACTTACAAAACAACAATATATAAATACTCGGAAATCTGCTAAGGAACGTAGAGCAAATATATACCCGAGTTATGATATTGTTTTAACAGCAAAAAAAAAATGCTATCCGGAAAATATTCATGTTACAAAATCTTATTTTAAAATTGAATTACAACACCTCCTTGATCATACAATAACAAGATTATTTTTAATTTCTGATATACCATCTGTAGATTTAACGATGAACAACTTTGAAATATTATGTAAATGGGGATGTGATGGAAGCAGTAGTCAAGCTCGTTACAAGCAAATTACGTCTAGTAATTTCAATGATTCCGATATTTTTATGTTTTCACTAGTGCCATTACAGCTAAGGTGTACAAAGATTAACAATCCTAAAACGATATTGTTATGGAAAAATCCTCGTCCATCTTCAACTCGTTACTGTCGTCCAATAAAATTTGAATATAAAAAGGAAACTATTGAGTCGACATTAGAAGAGGTAAATCGAAGAAGAAATTAAGTCATTGATTCCAACTTTAGTTTTTAAAAATAATATTGAAAATCGTATTAAAATCACATTAATGTTCACTATGGTAGACGGAAAAGTAAGTTTCACAAAGTTTTATCACAATTATTAAATATAATATTTTAAATTTCAAATAAGTCAATGAATAAAGATGCAATATTACCAAAATGAAAAATTTATTTTTAAACTTAATTTTAGATTTGCAATACAATGACTGGTTCATCAAGCCAAAAGTGCTATATTTGTAAGTGTTCTCCAAAAGACATGAATGATATAACCAGGGCGAAAAATTTAAGTGTACAGCCTGAGCATTTAAAATTTGGACTCTCAACGCTTCATGCGTACATACGATTTTTTGAATGCTTAATACACATTTCATATAGATTGGAGTTCAAAAAATGGCAGGTTAATACAATGAGTAATGACTTTTTACTATAATTTATAAAAAATATGTTCAATAACTTCCAACTTTCTTATTTGTTGATACAGGTTCGGACATCTGATGATAAAGTTATTTTTGAAAAAAGAAAAAAAATACATTCAAGATCGATTTCGAACTGAAACAGGTCTACTTATAGATGTAGTCTTGCAAGGTATTTATTTTAGGTTATACATTTAATCAATAAATTTAAACAAATTTAAATAAAATTGTGTTTTTATTATATAGGCAAAGGAACAACTAATGATGGAAATACCGCTCGTAGATTTTTCAAAAATGCTGAACTAACATCCGCTATAACAAATGTAGATTTACAACTCATAAAACGATTTGGAGTGATTTTAAAGACAATGTCCAGTGGTTATGAGATAAATTTAGAAAAGTTTGAGGCCTATACTTTAGAGACTGCGGAACTTTATGTTTCACTGTACCCGTGGTATTATATGCCTGCTTCGGTTCACAAAATTTTAATTCATGGTACAGATGTTATACGTTCTGCCTTATTACCCATAGGTAAGTTTTCATAATATTTAAAATTTAATATGGTTATAATAATATTATAATATAATATAGTTAAATAACAACGAACATGTTTATTTTACAGGCCAGTTATCGGAAGAGGCTCAAGAGGCCCGAAATAAAGATTTCAGGAACATCAGACAAAATAGTACTAGGCAAATAAACAGAATCTTACAAAATGAAGATTTAGGCCATATGCTACTTGTATCATCAGATCCCTACATTTCAAGTTTAAAAAAAACATCGAAAATGAACTTAAAATCATTCGATGAAGATATTAGGGCATTACTAATTGTTGAGGGAGATAAAAATAGTGACTCTGACAGTGACAGTGACAAAGACGATGATTCCGAAAGAAATATTGTAGAATATTCAGAAAATCAAAATTATAACTCTGTATGGTTTTTATAAAAATAAAAATACATTTTCTTTCATTTTCATGCGTTTTCATCATATTTGAAATTTTACAATAATTAAAATTAAAATTTAATAACATTAGGAACACATATTGTTAATAAAATAATTTTGTCCGCCTAAATTTGTATTTCCGACCACTGTGGCCCAGTTTCGATGTTCGTGAGAACCTCTTATAATGTGTGTTTTTTTTATTATGTGACTACGCAGTATGCGACACCTCCCCACCCAAAAAATTAATTTATGTTTGCAAAACAGAAATTAATTCTTATAGTTATGATTTTACAATTGGTTCAAGTTACAATTTTACAGCAATTACAGAGGTTTACAATTTTACAATTATTACAATGATTCTTACAATGTTATTAGAATTGTTACAATATAAAGATGTTGTTACAGATTTATAATTTTGATAATGGACTTACAATTTCTACAATATAATAATATGTGATAAAATATGTTTCGATTATATAATGGTTACAATAAATTTGATTAATATAATTGTTATTTCCGCATAGGAAATATTACAATGAAATGTGATTGATATACTTATTATTTCCGTATAGGAAATATTACAAATAAAATGTGATTAATTAATTTAGTGTTAGTTTAAATAGGTTAGTGTTACATATGTTTTGAATTACATTTTTTTTTTATGGTGGTTAGTATTACATTTTTTATCATTCAATTTTTTTTTTTACATTTATATTTATATTGGTTAGTATTAGTATTTGGTTAGTATTATACATAAATAAATAAGTGCAT